ATTGCTGGAAAGTTCTGCCAGGAAAAGCGTGACTTTATAATCCCTATTCCTTACACTTTCTGCCCAAGCATCTGCAACTGTCAGTTGTCAGACGTAATACATGTCAGAAATAATTTGATTTTGCTCAATACATAAGTCCTCAGGTTACATTCTTACATTATGCTGTGCAGCCATTTTGTGGGAATTTATTGAGGAGAGTCAGGGTGAAGAGATTCAGTAATTTTCACTGAAGAGTCGGAAAAAACGCATAGTTTTGTAAGGCGAGAAGACCTGTGGATCTTTCCATGGAAAGTTTTACAGTGAAGCCTGGTGATGTCTTGGTCTTACTTTTCTCTCAGAGTGTGTTTCGCTTTCTAAAGAAAAAGCTGCTTAAGGTTTAGGATTTGTTTGTTTGTTTGTTTTTCCCTGGTGTTTAGCTACCGAAAGAGAATGAGGCTGGCTAAATCAGAAGGCAGCGAGAACTGGGGAGAGCAGAAGGAAGGGAAGGACAGACACCTGGCAGATCATGCAAGGGAGTCTGGTAGCAAAGTCTTGCCATTAGAGAACAGACCTCCAGATCTCAGAGTGGAGCAGAATGTACCTTCACTTCTCCAGTCTGCTGTTGCCAGCAACGGCAAAGGACCTTCTAGAGAGAATTCCACGTCCTTACCCTTTCTTTCAGTGTTTCAGTTGATTTCCAGACTTGCTGGTGCTGGTCTGCATGTACAGTGACAATCTGCTACTGCTGTCAGCTCCAAACATCCCAGCTTTGCAGATGAGCCATTCCAGTTTTAACACAACACAGTGCGACAGAATCTAGTACTTTTAGTGTATTTAAAAAGAAAACTTTAGGAAATTCATTTAAAAGTTGCTATAAATAGCATCCTGGATATTATTATCAGCGAGTCCTCAGCTGTGCATGATGGCATCCTATTTTTTTCATGCAATTCATGCCTCTCTCAAAGCTTTTCTGCTGAAAGTTGAAGGCACGTAGTGAACAAGCAGGTGATTACAGCCAGTCTCAGTGTTGCAGCAGCTGAATGCTGCCCTGGGGAGTTGTATTTTACCCCTGGCAGAACTGTAAAATTCGTTATTTCAATTCTGAGATTACAGACATTTCAGAAGTGTGTTTTCATTTCAAAGCACAATGAAACCAATTGGAAACACTAAAATTTTCCATGAGGCAGAAATCCTGGATTTTGTCCAGCTCTTGTTGTGAATTCATTCTCGTGGAGCGTTTGGATGTTTTGGGATGAGCAATCTAGACTGTCTACGAGAAGGTTATTAATTCTTCTTTTGGAGCTAGCTTTGAACAACATTGGATTAGTACAGGATGAACAGTGGGGAAATACAAAATATTTATTAGTTGCTGAGTATGTGAGCGTTGGGCATTCAGTACACTGAAAGCTGCAAGGTTGCCTGGAAAAAAGATACAGAGTCATGTTACATCATAGCACACCTCTGAAGAAGTAGAAATAAGGTTGCACAGAAAATTCCAACTGTGTTACTCCCAGCTTTTGTGTGCTTTGAACACCCAACCTTAAGAATAATTGAACGTGGCTCTGGGCGTGCGATACAGCAATGGATTTCTTCAACGCCTGGTTGCTATGAAGTCTTGACCATTCGTTGGGAAGTGAGAAACAGGCAGTTGGGGTGAGCTAGTATTAACCAGTGTCAGGCTGAAGGTTAATCTAAGCTGGTCATCTCGTTCTGCCGAAGTGGGATGAGATGCTGTGCTGCCTGGAGGTGCTTTTATTTCTCTATTTACTGCCGAAGGAACCCAAGCGTTGTGTTCAGATTCTGTGCCTGGAGTTGAGGCAGCTGCTCTGAAACAGGCGAGTCTTAAAGATCGTGATATCCGTGAAGAATTTTGGGGCTGGGTAAGCCTCAAATCAAAGGTGAGTTCCGAGAGGATTTGTTAGTCTGGTCCTTCAGGAGATGAGACTGAGTGTCGGGATCAGTTGGTCCCTGTGTTTTCTTCCAAACGACCTTACGCTCTCCAGGAGTGGTAACTCTAATCTGGGGGGATTACTGGGATTTGGTTGAGGAGGGATTTCCGGTGGGAGTGGGGCATGAGACAGTTTTGCAAGCTGATAAAATTCAGAATTAGTTTATGTTTATTTTTCGTGGGTTAATCGTTTGTCCAAATTGCAGCATGTTTTCTCAGTAAACGACGAATTTCTGATGTAGGAGTAGATGTCTGTGCCAAATGTAAAGCTTCTTGAAAGCATGAATGTACTCATGTTGTTTAAACAAATAGTCGGGAGAATTTTTAATACAGGCATTTTTTCCATGAGATTTGCGGTTGTATGTATGGCAAAAAACCCAAATTACATCATGAGGGAGATACCTGAACAAGAGAGAGAGAGTCTTACAGTGAGAAAGATCAGATAATTTTATGCCTGATCTGAAAATAAATGTAAAGCACAGCTAATAAATTCACAGATTATGTTACTTTTGATGGAATGATGAATAGGAATTGTGTTTGCCGTAGCAATCTGGCTTGTTGGGTGAGTGGGGCTTGTTCAGATAAAATACATTTTAATACAGCCAGAGGGGAATTGTTTATCTGGGAATAATGAGGCTGCAGCTGGAACACAGGCCACGGCTTCATGTGCGTTGTAGGACGGTGCAGGCACTGCAAGAAGCAGTCCTGCCCCTTGCACGCTCATTTCTGCTGCTGTGCTGATTACGGAGCCATGTAGTGCCAGGAACCAAGGAACTGGTTCCCAAAAAAGACTGATTTTTCACCCATGTTAGCTCCGTGCTCTTCTTGGCCTTAGCAGCACTGGCTTGAAGCCACCCAGGTTTCAGCACCTGGCGTTAGGTGCCCGGTGGCATCCGGCTGCTTGCGGTGATTCGGGTTAAAAATACGCGGCCTCCGTCAGCCCCGGCTTGTTTGTCCTCTTTGCTGGAGGTCACCATCCTCTTAGCGTAGCTGGGGTCGGTGCCTGTGTAATCCCTTCCAGCACGGTCCCGTTAAGAGCGGGGTGGCTTTTGCTGTAGATGCTTTTGTCGGATAATTCTGATTGAAGCTGATAGTGGCTGAACACACCGTCGTGCCGGGGTATCTCAGAGGGCAGCGATGAGCAAGTGGGGTACTCTGGGGTGATAATCTAAGCCTGCATCCGGTGGAGCCAGGATAGCACGTCTGACCATCCTCTTGCAGAAGCAGAACTCTACCCTGGAAAGAAATCACCTGGAAAACAGCTAGGGAGGCAGGCACCTGAGCATGAGATCTCGGCGTGATGCCCTGGGCAAAGGGAGCTGGAGCCCAGTTCTGGTACATGCAAACTAGGCGGTTATGAATTTGAATAAGGAGGCAATTTTACCCTTCCTGTGACACTGGTGAAAGGGTCCACGCTTCAATAACAATGTTGAAAATTCAGGAGTAGTGGCAAAAAGTCATAAAATTAATCAACTCGGGCAGAAAAGTACTTCAGTTGAAAGACAGGAACGGCACAGTCTGTTTAGAATCGCAGACAAGAATCAAGAGGAGCTGATTAGTCATATCAGGACTTTCAAAAGGAGAATGGGCTTTTTAGTAAAGAGGGAAAAAAGCCCACAAGAGCCAGCGCCTGGGAGAAGAAACCAGATGTATTTTAATTTGAAATGAAGCAGAGGTTTAAAGCATTAAATTACAAGTTGCTGGAACAAACTTTTAGAAGAAGCGGGAGATTTCTCTTAAGTTTTGGTGTCTTCAGATCAAGACTGGGGGCCTCTCTGGAGGAGGTGGCTTAGCCAGCTGCAGGTTACAGGACTGTATTCTTGGGGCACTCGGTTGCTTTTGATACAGAGGTCAGACTGGTTGGTGTTCCTTCCATTCTTCATGTCCCTGACTGGGTGGGCGATTGGTCCTCTAGGAAAGAGCAGTGGAATAGAGAAGATGGGTAGAGGAAGAAGAGACAAGGATGCAGCATTGCTTAATCCTGCTTTTTTTGTTCCTTTTTTTTTTTTTTTTAATTTAGGCAAGTTCCACATCCCTGGGAGCTCCAGCTTGGGGCCAGTTCTCCACGGTGCGAAGGTAGGCTTTCATTTTTCACACCCTCAGTCCGCGCCTGAAGCCTCTTCCCTACAGGAAGACGTCTCGGTGTGACCCCAAGCACAGCCTGAGCAATCTACTCACACGAAAGACTCTTTTCTGCCCTGCACAGCTGGAGGCCAGAAGAAAGAGAGATGTGGTGTGCTGCCCTCTGCTTTAGCCAGAGCAAAGTTCCAGGAACTACAGACTTGCATCTCCATCCTAGAAGATGTCTGTGTAACAGTGGTGCTAGTAGAGAAGCACTGAAAGAAAATGGCAAAAAAACCCAACACACAAAACCAAAACAAATGAAAAAAAAGAAAACAAAACCCTATCCAGTAGACCTAGTCTGTTCATGTGTATTTGCATTTTGATGCAATCTTTCCCAAGGTGATTACATGCTGTTGCTATTTTGGTTTTTACGAGACAACCCATGACTGGAGAGGGTGGTGTCACTCCTCCTAAAGCTGCGAATCAGGGCTGGCTCTTGTCTCTTATAGAGAGGGTGACACTTTGGGCTTGGAGAGGGTGCATCAGCTTGAGAGTCACAAGGCCGTAAATTATCTTATTGTTCTTGTGATTAAACCCGCTAATTCCTGGCAATTCACAGTCTTAGGTGCAGACAATTCCCCATTTTGAAAATCAGTCGGCTGAGCAATTCCTCAAGGACACTGCGAGCAGAGTGGAGATGAATTCAGTGTTTAGCAGAGTGGAATCCTCTCTTTGCCATGGAAGTGACTTCTGCTGCCCCACCAGAAGGGCATTCGCTGGTTCTGCTGAGGGGTGAGCGTCGCGCTCCCCACCCTGGGAGGTGCCACTCTCTGTAGGAAGACGTAGGTCGCGGCGCAGGTCTCGGGAGAGGAGGGGAATCGGTCCGTGTCTCGGGTGGCAAAGGGGCATCTTTGCCGCGGGACTCGCCCGAGCTGGCACGCAGCGAGCGCTGCTGCCGCTCCGTGGCGCTACGTTTGTACGCTGCAGCAACCCGCCTCCCACCCCCCAGTCAAAAATCCTGATCGTTACTCAGGAAGAGAAGACACTGACTCTGCTGTGCCGGGTTTTATCGGGAGTGTGCGGTGTGCGGGAAGCTGACAGCGCGGGCTCGGCTCGAATCGTGCGAAACATTTACAGATGTGTCCGTGCGTGTTGGGCAGAGCTGTTTGTGCTGTTGGTGTGATGCAGGAGGGTGAGCAAGGGCTGATGTTGTTTTTGAAGGTGGGGGGAGGTGTTAGGAGTGGTATCAGATATTTGCTACGTTCTGAAAGGTCTGGTGATGTCCAAGAGGCTACACCAAGCTCCCAGGCCAGCAGGGAAGCGAGCAATGTCCATACAGCTTCCTGAACTAGATGGCTGTGTAGGAGAGGGAGATCTGTTTGTGGACACATGACACCAGATTACATCACCCTCTTGATAACTATAGTACAGCACAAATGCGTCTCACTGCTCGGTTTCCAAGAAAGAATCTCATGGAGGGTTTGTATGGTTTTGCTGTCTTAACAGCTTTTTTCTTTAACCCCTCAGGGTGACCCAGCTCAGCGAGGGCGTTTGGAGGAAGCTGCTGTCCAATTGCAGCAGATTTTCCGGATTGACATTTCCATTGCATTGAATATCCTCGGTAATGTGGACTTGCATTTTTGTCCTTAAACCACACATTTCTCTTCCTGAAGGACCTCCAAATTGTTGCAGGTCTAGTGTGAAGGCAGAGATGGCACATACCCAAGCTGAAGCCTCCTTTCAGCAATTTCAACTGTGCTTTGAGAGATTTATTGCCCTTTGTCCCATCCTGCCACCTGATTTATATCAGCATATTTAAATCCAGGCTTGGTTGAAGCCTGCACTGTTGTCCTGACATCTGTAGTTGGAAATTAAGCCATCTCTGTCTTTTTTACAACACGAGCTGTCGTATCCTTGTATCCTTTTTCATCGTCCGAGATCTCCATCTTCCTGGCCAGCTGGAAAAGCAATTGCAGAATTGCAACTCTAAGAAGAGCTGGAGGAAGATGCAAGGATCTAAGAAAAAAAATCCCTGCCCTATATACACCACTAGTTGCAGCACCAAAAAAGCGAGCCGCGTCTGTGCGAGCCATACGTTGTGTTAGCCCGTGATCCTTCTTTGCAACGAGACTAGAAAAATCCCTAAAACGCAGCGTTGCCATTTTTCCTGTGGAAACTTTGGTCCTGTGGAGTGAGGGTTGGTGAGCCAGCCAGAAATGGACCGGAGCACTTGGCACGGGCCGAGGAAGGCCCAGTAGGTGTGGGGGAGATTGCTGCGATTGAGGCTGCATTCCATCTGTTTTCTTTTCCCCTGTTTTTTAACATTGTGTTCTTCTCAGGGATTGAAAGCATGAGAGCAGGCCGTCACAGGATAGCCTTTACCTGCTTCAAACTGGCAGCAGATCGAGGCTACAGCAAAGCCCAGTTCAACGTGGGTCTGTGTTACGAGCATGGCAGAGGCACAGAAAAAGACTTGGAAAAGGTATCCGTGGCTCGTAGGGTTGTATATCTGCAGCACAGACTGGGAGAATGGTCTGTGTTAGGTGCGCAGGCGCTTTCCTCCTTTTGCATGGGTGTGACAGTCTCCGAAATCTCGTTAGAAAATGCTGGAAACAATATAAACTGCGGGTTTGCTGGCTTCAGTGTCATAGATCTCCTCAGAGATGTGCTCCTGAAGTCCCTTTTCTCATAGCTTCCGAGGTCTTCTCGCAGGTAGGAGGGCTGTGCCACTAGCACCCGGGAGAGTACCAGGGAGAAACCTGTCATGTTCCTGTATTTAAAACAGCACTGCACATCCGAGGGCTTCTTTACATCTTGAGCAGTCCGGTTTGGGTACCGTAACTACAGTCTGCCACCTAGTGCGTGCTGGCCACAGCCAGCATCTTCTGGAGCTGGAGAGATCCGCAAAGGCGGCTCGTTTCGTGTAATTGTGTAGATCCCCGTTGGCACAGAGTCAGCTTTGCTGTTGTTGGCCCGGTGCCACCCCCTTCAACACGGGGAGTTGTGACCGGAGAAGGCAGGGTGGTTAGAGGGCTCTCGTACAGTCGCAGTCCGCTGTCTCACATGAACAATCTCGTCTTCTTCAGCGGGGAGGTGTGGGAGAGCTGCTGGGGTGAGCGTGTGCAGCTTATGATAGATCTGGACAGAGAGGTTAAGCTTGTCCTGGCCAGAGGGGAGTCATGTCACCCATGAGGGCATGTATTACCTGAATCACACAAGCGCCTGTCTCTTTTTTTCCAGGCAGCTTTTTATTACTACCAGGCGGCCAGCAGCTGTCACCCCATGGCACAGTACCGCTACGCTAGGTACCTCCTGTGGCACAGGCCTGAAAACGAATGGGACAGGCATCGGGAGGCAGTGACTTTCCTGGAGCAAGCAGCAGTGGCTGGGATTACAGAGGTGAGCGTCCACAGCACGCGAATTCAGAGGAGGAGCCTGCAGAGAACCCTGTCTAAGGGATGTGAACGACAAGACATCCTAGAAAGTGGCATCTATGGGACTGGAAGCAAAATGCTTCCTACATATTCATACTCCTGACAGGGTATGGGAGACAGCCCTAGCTGAACATGGGAGGCAACTAGGTACCCGCTGTGTCAACAGTGTTGGTTGTCTGTTTTGCTGTTGGGCTTTGTAATGTGGCTCTTAGATTAGACACCTCCTGTAGGTCATCGGCTTAGGAATACTGACCGACGGTTGAAAGCGTAGCTCCGCGTTTCGCCTTCTCTCAATTCTGAGAGTACCGGTTGCTTTGGTGGAGCAGCTTCCGTGAGATGCTTCAAGTAAGAACAGATCCTCGTTTTGTATCTGAGACTTTTCAGGATGATTCATCCGCCACGGATCTGTGTACCCTGCCCTCCTTTCCCACCCTTCAGGAGATGCATTTAGGCATGTGCCATCTTGCGTTGCGAATGCCAGTCGTTCTGGCAGTGACTGTATCTCATGTAGCATGCTGTTCCAGGAAGTGCATCTGCTGTATCTTGCGGACAGCTCACGAGTAGGAGCTGTTCTCTGGCTCTGACTACCACAGTGAAGTTTGAAACGATATTCTGGGTCTTACAGTGTGATATGCTGATTCTATTGCACGTATAGCGGAGTTCTATATACCAAATGTGATTTTTTGCGTTCACCGTGTCAGACTGATTTTTCCTAGGACAGACCTTCCTTCTCTCAGCAGGCTCTGCAGCAAGCAGGGTACTTAGCACACCTTGCCTTGCCGCAGCAACCCCAGCGTTTGAGCAACTAGCAAAATCAGTGAAAGAACTGGAGTAATTAAGGGGCAAAATCCTGGCTGATTCGTATCGCGTGCTTTTGTTGCAGGCACAGGCTTATCTTGGAGTGTTCTACCTGAGGGGGCTGCAACCTAAGGAGAAGAGAGGTCTGAAGTACCTGCTGCTGGCAGCGAAAAACGGCGTAAGTAGTGGCTTTGTAAGCGATGATTGTTCTCAGTTTGGGATCATTGCAGGTTACAGGTGGCAGATTTCAGGGCTTCTTGGAAATTGGAGTGAGTGTCGGGACTTTACCACGGTGTCTGAAAGGACAGAGTGGAGCCTTGGTGCATTTTGAAGAAGAAACGGGCCCCGGGGCACAGACCTACAAAACATGAATGTAGAAACAGCCGTGTTGGGTTGGAGTAGCTCTTACAGCACCGGTGCTTATATTCATCTAGCATAATTTTACAGGTTTAGAGTATGGAGCATCTACACCCTCTTCAGTCAAACTCTTTTGCTGCTGTATCATTTTGAGAACTTTATTGTGTCTGTCTCGAACCTGTTCTTCAAAATTGGCCCGTTATCTCTTCCCTTCTGTAGAGAGGATGAAAAGTCTGTTTCTGTTTCTTTGCAGGGACCTTTAAAGTACTTAAATACTTGAATCTCCATTCAGCCTTCCCCCATTGTTTGAGTTTATCCTCACACATCATGTTGTCTGGATCCCCAGCAATTTTCTTGCTTGCTGTTGAACTTCTCCAAGCGACCCAGGTTCTTTTTTTTTTGAAGGATAGTGCCACAATCTCAGCATCGTACCGCTCCTGAATGCTCACTGGCACTCAGAGCAGTAGAAGTATGACATCCCATGTCTTGCAGCCAGATTTCTGCATCCCACTTCTGGTTCTTTACAGCACTGTGACATTGTTCACTCATTTTCAGCTTGCACTGCATTGTAATAGCTAGGTTTTTCGAAGAACTTGGTCATTTTAACTTCAGTTCCCACAGCTTTTGTGCAATGGAAGATAATGAATAGCTATTCCCTCTTCTTCTGGCTAATACTTCTGATTCTGTCGCCCTTTAGTATGTCCTCTCCGAGTCATCTCTTTCGCAGGCTGCAGAGTGCTGGTTTGGTTTGTCTCTCCAGGTAGTTAAGCTGTTCCATTTTGCTTGTCAGTCTTCTCTCTATTTTTCTAATTCTCCTTTGGCCATTTTAAGGTGCTTGGGCTAAAACTGGACTCAGGATGGAGGCATGCCAGGGATCAGACATAATGAGATCCTCTGCTTTGTTCTGTATTCCCTTCCAATAATTCCAAATATTGTTCGCCCTTTTGCTTGCCACTGAACAGTGACTCCATGGTTTCGGGGAACTATTACAGTGACTCACAAATTTCTTTCTAGAAGCAGCATTGTGCATTTGTCAACACTCAAGTTTCCCCTGTGATTGCCTTGCCCACTCTTAGCCTTGTGAGATCTTCTCTAATTAATTCTTTCCAGCAAGTTCCATCACCCTGAATGACATGCATCACTGGCAAACTTTGCCACTTCAGTTTTCACCCACTTTTAGGGACTCATTGACTCCTTTCTTCCAGCCTGGTGTCAGGTGGGTGTGCTGCACAATATAACAGTGATTTATCTCATTAAATAGATGATTGTCATTTACTGAATGCCTAGTAAGCCATTAACAACAGGAAACGTAGCAGGTAACTGCAGGTCCCAGGAGTACCCCCCAGTAGATCAGTGTTTTGCATGTTTTGGTCACAGCCATGACAGTTCTCAGAACCAAGTCATCTTTCCTCATCTCTGCTTCCCAATGGATGCTGGCTGTGGGTGTACCACGGCCTCATCCTCGCTGTCAGGCTTGTGCATAAGCTCCCTGGGATGTAACTCCATGTTTTCTGCTGGGAAAAGGTCTCCATGAGTATGTTCTTTTCCCGTTACCCTGGTGTAATGTTTCTGTTTGGTTGGTTAAAAGAACACTGGATATGAGTGAAGCAAGGACGGCACCGTTTAGCTACAACTCCAAAAAAGGGAAAATGGGCACGAAAAGTCATGGGTTCAGTGTTTCCCTCTCAGGTTGTTGCTCTGTGCTGGAGCCGAGAGGGAACACAACGACGCTTCAGAGAACCGTGTTTTACTTCGGTCACCACTTTTTACCTTCCCTTGTTTCATGCGTGCAACCATAGAGTATAAAAACCATAGTAAAGAGGGTTGTTGGGGAACTGAATCTGACCTTTGGATCTCAAAGCGCGTCGCAGTCACTTATGCCATGCTGGTTTGGGGATCTCTTCTCCTTGTGGTCTTGTCTTTGAGGTGTTCATCCTGTAAGAGTTGGCCAGTGGAATACTCCGTACTTATTTAACCCTGTCTCTTATCACATCTGAAGTGCCAATCCTTCAACATGTTTATCTCATCTCTAAACAAGTTTATTGCTGTCATAAACTGAGACGTGCAACATTTTGCAAAGCACCCACTCGTTGAGTTCTTCACTTTCCTCTACCAGCTACATCCCAGACAGCAACACTTGCAATATGTTCTTTTCTCGTGGCTTTATTAAACCTTGCTACTTATTTCCTTTTTTGTTTTGTTTTGTCTTCTTTTCTTTTTTTTGCAAAGCCTTGTTTAGATCATGGTTCTGGTAGTCATACTCTTCAAGTCATGTTGCTGCCCTTTTTGCTGGAAAAGGTCTCTGTGACCACTAGCCCACGCCGTCGTTTCAATGTCTTGAGGACCATCGTCTTGCTGTCTGTCACACCCTTTGCCTCCCGTTGCATCTTAAATATAAAGTGCACAGCTGACACGTAAACATGTCATGGGTTCAGATTTGGCTTCACTGACCCATCTGCAGTGACATCCTCCACTTTCTCGTTCACTCTCAGCAGTTACGTGTGTCTGAGAACTTCACGTGCTTTTTCTCGAGCGCTTGTTTGCTTGGCTTCATTTCTGCTGCTTCAGGTTTCTTCTGGAATATAATTAGGTGGGGCTGAGCAAAACAGTGGTGCACTGTCGTGTTGAAGGCCTGATGGTGCCAAGGGGAATCTTCCAGCCCTTGGCAGCAAGTGCCTCTCTGGCATTTGCTGTGTTTTCACAAGACTTCTGCGTGAACTGCAGGAGGGCAGTCCACAGGGCGTGCGCAGGGTTTGGGTGTGATCAGGATGTGGGTGCAGTCCAGGCTGCCCACGTCCTTCTAGCTCTGACCCTTGAGACAATTGGGATGCTCTGCGGAGACAGCAGTTCCTTTGTTCCCGTGACACAGACCTGGAGTTGAAGGGAAATCGGTGAATTTAATTGGAAAGGGATAGGAAGGAGCGGAGCCAGAGATAGCTGGTAAGAGGCTCTGCTTCACATGTGCTTGGAGAAGGGACTAAATTACTGCAGATATGGTCTGAGGGAGCGAACATCGAGGAGTAAACCTTAAAGAAGGTGACCAAAGATAGAGCAGTAAACTTTAAAGAAGGTGTTAAAGACTCTCTGTTCTTCGTCCGTGTGCTGCCGTCACTTCTCCATCGTGTGGGGCTGATTGCTGTGCTTTCTCCCGTGGCTAGGATGCCCAAAGCAGGTATCACGTGGGCGTTTGCTATGAGAAGGGCCTTGGAGTGCAGCAGAACCTGGCAGAAGCGATGAGACACTACCGAGAGGCAGCTGCTGCGGGGAACGGGAACGCTCGGGAGAGGCTGCGAGTGTTAGAAGAGGAGGTGGAAGGTACCACGGGCGGCGGGGGAAGAGGGTGTGCGGGGCTGCGTGGGGTAACGACCCCATAAAAGTGGGGCCCGTGTTGCCGGAGGAAAGGCAGCGCGGGGAACACGGCAAGAAGAAGTCATTTTTGCTGAAGGGAGCACTCGTCTTTCTCACTTCTTTCCACTTCTTACCAGATATTTCCAGCTGGGCTGAGAGAAGCTGTTCCCATAGTGGGATGTATCATTAATATCTTGGTTTAATGTACTTTCAGATGTGCGAACAGAGAATCCGTTCCCTTCTGGAATAAGAGCCTCTTCCTCTAGCCCCTGTTTCTGGGCTACTGAGCGTGTGCCTGCAGGCCTCCACGCCACCCAGCCCGGACAACCTGCCCTCGCCCTGCCCCACTCTCGGAGTGCAGAGGGGCTCCACACGATGCTGCTCAGCGGTGCGGGATGGAGCCGTGCCCTGGGAAACAGGGCACCGCCGCTGGAGCTGCACTGCTTGAAGCCCCACCGCTGCTGTTATTAGAGCGATGGGTAAGTGAAACCAGCAGGAGGGAGGGCAGCCCTTCCTTGTCCGAGCGGAGCTGGAAGCAGGCTAGCAGTGAGTGGAGAGAGAAAGCTTTCTGTTAACGGAGCAGGAGCCATTTTTAAAGACCAGAGTTTTGAGAATAAACCTTGTGATATCCCCTAGGCCACCATGTCATCTGCCCCTCTGCCTTCCAGTCCAGGATCGTTTCTTATGCTCCTACATATGGAGCTATGTATAGACTCCCACCGTGCCACGGTGATGTGATTTGGGGCTCTCATTCCAGTAGCCCTGCACATGCACACCCTGCACTGGGTTTGCAAGGCGCCATGTGGTGATGTTGGCAGATAACTCCGTGCTGGGTCTGGCCTGCGCCCTCAGAGGCAATTTGATGCCCCTTCAAGGCTAGCTGTTCCCACCGTGGTTCTGCTACCGGCACAATCTGGGCTTCTCTCTACGTTGCCACTGCGGCAGTTTAATCTGAGAGCAAATTCTGATTATTGGTGCACAGGTTTTAGGGGGCTGTGGCTTATGGATCCACCTGTACCAGTGAGAGTAACGGCTGTCCTAAGCCATCCTGCACCATCGTCGGTGTCCTTCGGTCTCTGGCATTGAGCTGCTCCCATGGGTACACCCCTTTGAGTCACGATGAGCAACAATTGCTTCAAAATTCATATAGTACATGTTTGCAGAGCACGCCAGCTCATTTTCACTGAAGTGGATAAGGGATGCTCCCAGTGGGCAGTAACCACTGTCAGGCAGACAGCGGCAAGCAGCTGGTATGATAATTTCTTCCACTGGGGCAGCTGAATCCGGAAAAAGACGTTTGTCCACACCAGTTTAAACTGGTTCAAGGGCATCTGTACAAACTGTCCAGCTTCCTGTAGCCGTGGTGCTCCAGTGCTTTGTGTAGATCAGGTTCTCAAAAACAAAGGCAGTGGCCCCATCCTGAACTCGCTGGGGTCTCCATTCAGCAAGGGAGGGGCACAGCCCGAGCTCAACACATCTGATTGTTCTTCTGGTCTGGTCTCCCTTTTTCTGCTCAGACCAAACTTTCTTAGACCATTTCCTTTATCAAGCAGGATACAATTAGCAGGAAATTCCTCTGGTGGATTTCCTATTCCATGATAATCTACGGCATGCTTACGCATTGGTCAGGGCAGGACGGGGGTAGGGGCTGGGGGGGTTGAAAGCAGTTTGCAGAATCAGGAAATTGAACCGAGAGAGGAATTTGTCTCCTTTTCAATCTTACTGTGATGTATTTTTGTGTAAAGATTGTCCTCTGACAGGCACATCAAAGTAACTTTCCAGAGGAAGACGCGAGGTTGTGCCGTGTGTTTGTCCTCTGCGCGCGTTCCCAAGACGCAGAGGAATCCCACAGGGCTGCATCTCCGCGCAGCCACAGATCTGCCTCCCTGGCGGTTTGCACAGCTGCATCTCCCTTAGAATTTGGCTCACGGTCATCGTTTCGGTGCAAGAGCCCGTTTTGTTTGTGAAACAAAACAGCAAGGCATTCCTATCAGCAGCCCAGCAGCATAAGCAGGCTGGGGCGAACCCACCAACCTAGTTTATTGCCAGAGACG